ATGGGGGCTGGGATATAGCTTGGAGGCGCAGCGTCTGCCCAGCAAGCGCAAGGTCCTGAGTGTGATTCCCAGTTAAAAAAAAAAAAAAAATTGTGATGGTTATGACATGTCCCAATGAGCTTGTCCCAGTGATTTTCCCAGCCAAGCACCAGGCGCAGGCCCAGAAGGATACCTGTTCTGATCATTAGCCGATGGTTGCGTGTGGCATCAACAACGGGGGCACGAGGTCAGGGTACAACGACATATCTTGTACTATTCTGCTACTTTTAGTAAGCTAAACTCTTTCCCAGAAAAGGAAGCTTAAGATAGGTGGGGTTTCTTCCAGGAGAAGAGTAGATCTGACTCCCATGGAAGAGGAGGGACAAACAGAGGAGCACCTCTGGATCTCAGCATCCCTTTGATTCTATGTTTCAGAACAGCAAAGCAGACCAAGGGGCATTTCTAAGGGGCAAAGCAGACAGTGGGCTATGGTGAGTGGTGCACAACAGGGGCCGAGAGGATGCATAATGACAGGGCTGGGTATACAGCTGGGGCCTAATAAAGGCTCTGGACCCACTCCCCACCCCACCCCCACCTCTACCTGCAGCTTAATGCTTGGCTAATTCAAACAAACATTTGTTTGGTTTGTGGTTGGAAACTAAGTTCTCATATTTGAGTGTACTGCAGGGTCACCCGGGAAAGGTTTTTTTCAAGCAAATGCATGCAAGCCCACCCTGAATGTCTGGGTCATTAGGTCTGGGGCAGAGCCCAGCAAGCAGGTCTCTGGGATACTGACCTACTCGTCCTGGAATGAGAAGACCTTATACTCAGGGAGCTCTCTCCAGTCTACACTGAATGTGAATACCCAGGGGCCAAGTCCAGGGCAGGGGCTTCTCCAAAGAGATACTGTTTATGCCAAGGCCTGAAAGTGGGATGGAGCCAACCCAGCAAAGAGAGGGCTGAAAGTTTTGCTATTTGCTTAAAATGTGCCAGCCCCTTACACGGCTCATCTAATCCCCCCTTGAGATGAACTGGACAGAATTAACCCCCATTTTACAGACAAGAAAGTCAAGGCTCAGAGAGGCAAAGTAGCAGCTCAAGAACTCGTGGCAGGAGAGCAGCTCAGGGCTGTGTGCTCAGACACCCCTGCCGGCTGCACATGCATCTGCCACCGCTGCCTGCACCCCTAGGCTCCTCCGTGGCTGCCAACTCCTGTCCTGGGGAAGAGTTGTTTGGACACAGCTGTGGGCCTGGCTGGCTATACTAACTCACCCCCTCCTGAGGCCTTCAAGTGCTTTCACTGCTGGGTGAATTCAGCAGATGCCTTTCGATCGTAGCCTATTAAATTAGCCCTTCTCTGTAGCCAAAAGAAGATAATTATGTTTTCATTAGCCCTGGATAATGTATTACCCCCTCGGTGGCAGCCACATTGGTAATGAAACTGCTCCCTGCCCTTAAGGCCACCAGAGGGCCCTGCTGGTCCCCCAGTGACCCTCCCAGGCACTGTTTACCTGCCCACCTGTGATGCAGGAATTATGGAGTGAGGCCCAGAGATGAGATCTAGGAGCCTCTGTCATCTCATGACCTCCTATAGCGTGTCAGCACGATGCAGGTGTAGGACAGGCCTCGGCTGGCTCAATCCTATAAGAGCCCCGAAGAATCCCAGAGAAGGGCAGCATCGCCATCATCTCCCCTAAACACCAAGGGTTCCTAGAGGAACTGAGTGCATATAAGTGTCAGGAACAGCCTCAAAGGCACGCTGGCTAATGAGCACCTGGGGAACTGTCACAGTGCAGCGTCCGGGACCACTTGCTTCGTGATCAAACTCATCATCTTTTACCTCTGGCGTTTGAGACCACAAACCATTCCCAGCATTAGTGTGGAGGGTCGCTGGACACCAAGAGCCACCCCCACCTCCCCAGCCCTCCCTTCTCCCCCATAGTAATAGTTCTGACCTGTTCCTCTCCCTCCTCCACAAGGCCAGGGTAGGGGACAGAGAGAGCCGCACTTTGGGAGCTCAGTTCTAGCTTCTGCTTCACCACTGAAGTCACTTTGAGTCCAGAGCTTCTGATTTTTTTTTCTTTCCGTCTATAAAATACGGATGAGGAAGGGAGTCATCCATCTCTTGCCACTTTGATGACAATTCAGTGAGCTATTGCTACAAGATTTTTTGGCTCAAAACTGGTGAAATAAGAAGCGCTTGATACAAAATAGTCACTGCTCCACTGCTACATCTAGAATTGTTGCTGGTTCCCCCTAATGCCATGGAGACATGCAGAGCAAGGAAGGAAAATCTGGCTCTGTCCCTGTCTCTGTCCCTGTCTCGGTCTCTGTCTCTGTCTCTGTCTCTGTCTCTGTCTCTCTTTTTCTCTCGCTCTCTGTCTCTTTCTCTCTCTCTCTCTCTCTCTCTCTCTCTCTCTCTCTCTCTCTCTGTCTCTTTTTCTCTGTCACTCTCTTTTTCTTTCTGTCTCTCTGTCTCTTTTTCTCTCTGTCTCTCTGTCTCTCATTCTCTGTTTCTCTTTTTCTCTCTGTCTCTCTCATTCTCTCTCTGTCTGTCTCTTTTTCTCCCTCTCAGTCTCTCTCTCTCTCTCTCTCTCTCTCTCTCTCTCTCTCTCTCTCTGGATTTATGTCTTTTTGTTAGTGTCTCTCTCTTTCTCTGTGTGTGTCTCATTGCCATCTGCCCAGTCTTGGTAGTATCTGTTTCTCTAGCACACACACACACGTACGCACACACACACACACACACACACACACAGGAGCACACACACACAAGCTCCAAGGCACTGTCTTCTCAGATCCTTGGCTTAAGAACTACACAACCACTGCCCCTTTACTGGGACAGAATCAGGAAATGGGGTTTCCAGCCCCTTCTCCTCAAACCCAGGCCACCGCTTCCTTCTGCGAGCACTGCTGACCTGGATGCTGAGCCAGCTGAACTCTAGGGCTGTGGTGCCCTGCCCCAAGCCCCTGGGGCCCAGATGCCCCCACTTCCAACACAGGCCAGCTCAGCTCCCTCTGGAGCAGGTGAACCGCCAGCCCAGTGGAGGAGCAGCTTCCCCTCCCCTGGCTTCCTGATTTTCCCCAGTTGCCATGGCAATTGACAGAGCAGTGTTCTAGACCAACACCACTGCAACCCAGTGCTCAACTTTGAAATGGTTCAGGCAGGAGAAGCTGTGTCTGGGATGGGAAGGAGCTCAGAGCCCTCAGCGCCAGCCTTGCCCTCCTGGAACACCCATCAGCCTTTTCTGTCCCTGGCATTATTCTCACCATCCCTACGATCTCAGGTTATTCTTTCTTGAGCACTTACTATATACTAGGCATCATGCCAAGGGCTTTCCATCAACACCCCAGAAACTGGCCCGGAATCCCAGGGCACCGTCAAGAAGTGGCAGAGCCCTGGCACTGATGGAATTTTTCTTGGGTCCTCTTCTCAGTTAGTTGAAGACAGTACACACACACACACACACACACACACACACACACACACACACACCAGCTCTTTCTGCATTCCTTCTGCCACCTCGTCATCCCTCATGCCCCTCTTCCTGCCCCCAAGTCACACCCCCTTCTCCCTTGCTTAATGTGCAAGACACTCTGAAAAGCATCTATTAGTGACAAAGGGGAGTGTTTTTCCTTTGCCTCTTCTCCACACAACTCAGAGCCTGAGTGGGCCTGGCCGTCTTGCCAAGCCAAGGCTGGGGAGGAGAAAAGATCGAGCTGCTGGGAGCCAGGTGCCAAGCGTATGTGTGCGTGTGTGTGTGTGTGTGTGTGTGTGTGTGAATCTTGCTCTCTTTCCTGGAGTCCCTCCACCTCCCTGCTTCCCCAAGAGTGTGTGAGCAACAGCGACAGTGAAATGCAAAATCCTTTGCAATCTGCCCAGGAAAAGACAGCTTTCGAGACGGGTTTATATGGTTACCCATATGTTCCGGCCCCTAAGAAAGGAAGGGAAGCTGAGTTCTCTGCATCTGCCCCTCCCCCTGCCCTACCCAGCTGCTCCATGTGTGCTGGCCTTGCAGGCCACAGGTGGACAAGGCCCCTCCATCCTCACCCCTCCCAGACGCTTGGCCCGAGCTCTGCTCCTGAAAACACCAGAGCTGGGCAACATTTGCAGAACCTGCTGACTCTCTGTCTGCCCACCCAAGAGCCAAGGCTACAACCGAGGCTGCTCCGGTCTACACACACACACACACACACACACACATACATACACACTGCTGCTGGCTCTACGCAGCACAGAGACTGGGCGCTATGCCGTCCCGCTAAGAAACGATGTCCCAACACCAATGTAGACAGAAATAACCATCACTGCCTCCCATGACATTCTCTGTGACCACAGCGAGCTGCCCTCACTGAAGTGGCTACTACACTCAGCCTCCTCCAGCCTCCCAGAAATTGTCATTGTGTGTGTGCGTGTTTCCTGATAGGGAAAAAAAATGGAAATTAGGTTATATAAAAGATGTATGCTTTGGAACCCAGAGCGGCTCTTTTAATGAGGGTTGCGACGTCTCCCTCCCCACACCCATAAACCAGTCGGCTGGGACGTCACCGCTAATTCGTTTCAGCGATGGTAGGATAAAGGAGGGACATTAAGAAATAAATTCCCCCTCGCGACCCTCGCCGAGCTCGCGGATCGGTTCCCACATATTTACGCCGCGATTCCAGTCGCCCGGCGGAGAGCTACTTAGCGCCGCGGCTCCTCTGAGGCTCGGTGGTGGCCGAGCGGACGGGGTGAGCCCGGGGCGCACGCCGGGCGCTGGGCACTGCGCGGGGGAAGCCCGCAGCCCTTGTCCCGAACTTGGGCTTTCTGGGCTGACGGAGGGCGGGAAGGAGGGAGGGGACAAGGGAGGGTGGGGGCCGGGCGAGGGGGTGGGGAGCGATCTGAGAGGCACAAAGCGGAGAGGCAAGGAAGGGAGGCGCGCGGCTCCCACCCGGAGGTGAGCGGGTGTGCCCGGCGCCCTCCAGCCGCGCGGCGGCCGAGCGACCCGGAGGCTTCGGAATCGGAGCGCCCGGGAGGAGGCGGAGCGGCGCGAGCAGGAGCAGGCGGCGGGCGGGCGGGTGCGCAGGGCGCAGAGCAGCCTCGGCGCCCCTGGACTCGGCCGCAGGTGAGTTTCGGGGCCCGCGTCCCGCGCCCCTCAGCAGTCCCCCTACGCTCTCCGTTCCCGCGCGAGCCCACCACGGTACGCGAGAGAGCCGCGGGCTTTGCTGCGCGTTCCAACTTGGTCCCTGCGTCCCCGTTCTGCTCCCAGCGGGCGTCCCCATGCCGGGTCCCGGGGTCGACGCGCCCGCCCCGCTTCAACTTTGCGGGGACCCCGGGGGGCTCCCCAGCCGCGCACGCGGCTTCGGGCTGCGCCTGCGGTAATGGCGGACCTGGGGCACCGCGCGCTCCCCGGCCGGCGGCCCGGGCTGTGGACGCGGGCGGCCGGGTCGCTGCACCTGCCGGTGCCTAACTTTCGCCTGCTCCCTCCCGGCGCGGCTCTGCGACCGCGTCGCCCAGGCGACCCGCGGTAATGGCGGCCTCGGGCACCAGCAGCCTCCCGGGCGGGGGCAGATGGCCGGGAGGGCTCGCGGGGCTTGCAGCTTCTGCCTGGCTTCTAACTTTGCCAGCCTCCGCTGCGCTCCGCGGTCCTGGCGCGGCGGCCCGCACCTCTTACTCCTGCCCGGGAGGGATCGTGGTGTAAGCGCGCCGATTCCCAGAACGTGGGAAAGTTGTGTTGCTCCAGCGAAGGAGGACTGAGGGCTCTTGGCGCGTCCCCGAAGCGGGCAAGGGACGCACTCCGCCGCGGATCAGGCCCGCAACGCACCGCGCGCTTTGGATTTGTTTCCAGGCGGCCACCGCGGCTGGGAACGAGGTCCCCGCGAGCTCCAACTTTCGTGGCCCTTCGAGGGTCCTTGGGTAGAACGGTCCCGAAAGAGCTCTTGGGACTACGAGTGAGAGGGTGTGAGCCCCTCGCACCCACCTCCAGGGCACAGTGCCGCAGCTCTCAGCGTCCCAGGGACCGCTCTGTCTGGGGCGGGCACCCAGAGAGGTGAGGTGCGCGCGAGGAGGCAGAATAGAGGGGCTGGAACGTTTCTAATGGCTCCCGGGGGGTCGGGGTGTCCAATCCTAGAAATGGCTTTTACTCACTATGCGACCGTAAGCAAGCCCCAGCTCCTCTCTAGGTCTAGGATTCCTCTATGTAAAGTGAGGAAACAGTACCTCTCTCGCGGAACTAAACCTGAGTGCCATTAAAACGTCGTAAGTGTAAGTGAAGCCCAGGACCAGCAGTGGATGCACTAGAAATGTGACTGAGGTTTTACTGTAACCCCTAGGTTGGATCTGGGGACTCTCGTGTCAGGTTTCTAGTGAAATCGGGGTTGCCCCTGAGGGTAAGAAAGGCCAAGCTCACTTCCTTCCTGATACAAGCAACACCCCTCCCCGCGACAGGTTCTTTCTGGCCAATGAGCCCCCCCCCCCCCTTCTAATTGCTGCTCAAACCCAGAGCCTAGGCTTCACAAGATGTACTAGCGGCCACCACAGAAGGGTGAAGGGTTAAGGGGGTGGGGTCCCAGAGGCCCCACAGGGGAGGGTGGGAGTAGCCAGGGTACTGTACCCAGGGCACTGCCTAGGGCCTCTAACAGTCCATAACAGAAGGGCTCTGTTCTGTCCCACGCCTCTCCCCCACCGCCAGAGGAATGTGAGCAAACTTCGCCTTTTCCCTTTCTTGCCACTGGGATCAGGCGCAATACATACACATCCGGTATGGAAAGACACCAGAAAACACTGGCGCAGCTCCCTGGGCAATCAGTTTTCTACCACTAGATTTTGGATTTGGATTTTGGTATTTGTTTGCTTGTTTAATTTTAATATCAGGTCTGTGCCGGAAGCAGGCATCGGAGAATCAGACCCATTTTTTTTGCCCCCAGGCATCTGAGCAGACAGGTCTGAGAAGACTTGGAAGGTCCTGGAAGGGAGGCACCTTGCCCCACCTCTGTGGACCTAGCCCTTCTCATGGCCCAGATTCTGGCTCCCCAGCCACCTGCCCATAGTCACCTAGCTGGTAAGTGACACTACCAAGGCCTCACCCCTGGTTTTGAGCTTCATATCCTAGAGTATTTTGCACTCGTCAGCAGTCTGATACACGCCTCTGCTTTAGCGTGCTCAGCCTTGTTCCCTGACAGATCTTTTAGGCCTGAGCTACCCTGACTGCATCTCCAGAAGTTCGGGGGTAGATCCCCTAAAGTGCCAGACCATACAGGGAAAGAATTCCTAGTAGAAAGACCTGCTGAAGACCTCTGTTTGAGAGCACATTTAGGCTCCTGCTCCAGCGTGAGCCCCGGCTGGTCACTTAACCTCCCTGAACTTCAGTTCCATTACTTATAAAACGAAAAGGGTGACTCTCGTAAATGAGGATTTTGTACAAATGTCTGTAAAGGGAGCTCTGGAAACAGGAGTTTTAATCCAAGGTGGGTGATCATAAGGCAGAAAAGGAACCCCTGTGGGGGTAAGTCTGCGTCTAATACTGCAACACAGCCTCCACACCGGCCTCTTCATGTTCCCCCAAATGGCCAGAGTGAGCTCCAAAGGCTCTGCCTTCCATAGGGAAGGACACTTGGAAAGGCTGAGTGGCTGGAGTGGAGGGGCGGGTGGACCTGTCCCCACCCGGGGGGGGGGGGGGTCTTTGTGCTATGGGGTGCTGTCCAAGGTACCATGCAGGCAGCTGTTCACTGGTAGAGCACTGCTTTCCGAGCCCCCTTGGGAATCATTTCACCTGGATCTCAAGAGCATGAACCAATTGGGTTGTGCCGCTTCCTTGGGTGTGTGGTTTGGGGTGTCCTGCAGCCCCACTGGGTGCCTCGCCTGTCACTCAGCTTCCGCAGGTCTGAACAGGTCTGGGTGAGCCTTGAGATAAAAATGATATGTACTCATTAGAACTGGGCTCTTCCTGTCAGTGACTGGCATGAGCAGAAGGTGAGTTTGGCATTTCAGAGCCAATTGTCATCTGGGCTGTGTGCACGAAGAGGCAGGCTCCCCATCACGGACCGGTATGTGGTTGTGTGGTTAACAACTCCGACATTGCACAGGCTATAGACGTGACTGTTTCCCTCCCTCGCCAAATATGCAATAGTGTTTAGACATCATCCAGCCTGGTAGAGGGCAAGCATCAGGCCAGCAGGTCCGCAGCATCAGAACCTACCAAAGCTCTGCTTGGAAAGAGAGACACCAAACCCCATCCTCTGTCGGCAGAATCAGCATCCCCGGGGAGACACCCAAAGTATCTGTATGTTTAACAAAGCTACTCCAGGCCACCCTGTTGCCTTCAGTTCTTACCCATCAGCCTCATCCTTCAGGAAAAGGGACCCAGCAAAGGCACGTAGTTTGATTGAAGTCACAGCAAACAGCCAAGGAAGCTGAAGTAGATTTCCGGTAGTTTCCTGTTTGCTTGAAAATAAAGAGACTCCAGCGATTTGGGATTTAAATGTTAATTCCATTTTAGATTATCATTATAAGTTGGCAAATGACTAAACTGTCCCTCTCACCTTGACCTTGCTAGATTCTGCCCTGCTTTTCCAGCTAATGTTGTGAGCTCTGCTGGTTAAGCCTTCTGAGAGAAGACTCCTTTTAAAAGTGACCTATCAGGTCTAACTTCAGAAATCAAGTCATTGCAGTAGCTAATAACCCCTGCTTAACTCTCGCTGATCTCACCAAAGCCCTTAGTCGGAGCTCATTTCTGCAGCCTACTCAGCCCCTGCCTGGCCTTGCAAGTCCTGGGCGCATCGCTCCCATTCCTAGGGAAGGAAAGATACTCCCTGCCATGCTAGAAAATTGAGCCCACTTGAGTCTATTCCACAAAAATGATGTCTCAACAGAAAATGTCCCTAAGTCTCCAATGGGAGCCTTGTTAAGGGGGCATAGCAGGGATTGATCTTGGTATAACTGCACTTAGCAACCATTTGCCTGGGATGAGCACAGTGACCGTGGGTGCTAGTGCAGCAGATGTCAGCAGACCTGTCACCTGTGACAGGATGAGTGCTAAGGGGCAGGTCCGGAGGGGGAAGGGGCCTGGGCCAGGGTGGTGTGAGCCCCACTCTAAGTAGGAGCACCGAGGAAGCCCTGGAGCAGGAATAGTGCTTCTATGGGAGGGGAGGAGGTGACAGGGTGGCCCCAAGAGCAACAGGGTGGCAGTGGAATTCAGCAGAACAGGTAGCCTGACATGTAATACTCTCTCAGCGATGGGGGCCTAGGGCCACGCTGGCCCACAGCAGCCAGGTTGAAAGGCAGAGCACCGCATTAAAATCAAAGGAGGATGTCATCCTGGGAAGCATCCTCTGTTGGGCTTGGGCATCTATGGTCTCCCTGAGTCTCAGGGTGAGTTCATCTCTCTGACCCTTCGGCATTTCATCCAGGCAGTGGAGATTATAGCTGCTGCACAGGACTCATAGGAGGATTGTCAGAATAGTGTGTTGGTGGTGGCAAAGGGACAGCATCAGGCCCTTACAATGCTCCTAACAAAGAAGAGAGAGAGAAAAAAGAACTTTAGTTGGCCAGTTGGTGTAGACCAAGCCCCTTCCTCCAGCTCAGCCTCATTTTTATCATCTGGGAAACGGGGGAATACGTTGAGATTTAAATGTATCTGCGTCTCTATTCAGAGTCTTGCAGGGTTGGCACAGGGTTTGTCTTTTGTTAGTTTAGATTTTTTTCAGGGGTGTGGGTGGAGAACGTTGACTTTGTTTCATTCTGGCTTGGTTTGTTGCTGTTTTGTCTTTGTTTGGGAGACATTTTCGTTACAACTCCTAGACTAACTACTTTTAAAAGCCTTTCTGACTTTAATGTTCTTTCCCTCACCTGAGGCAAACAGGTGCCCAATCCCAGTGCATCGGATGCCTTCCAAAGAGGGCTCCGAGGGAGACACAGAGGGTCTTGGCAAGCGGATGAGGGTCCTGTTTCCAGCCCAGGAACTATGTCCTTTCTCCCACCTCTCATTTACATGATCCTTGCTGTAACCCCACCTCTTCTTATTTGAGAGTGCCTGGGAGCACTGGTCCTGCAGTGTGGGCCACCCCGGAGGCTCCAGCAGTTGGAGACTAACAAGCACCTAAAAGAGATTTTCCAGGATTTCAGAGA